TGTGTGTGTGTGTGTGTGTGTAGAGACTGTGGGGACATGTGGAGACTGGAGACTCATTAGCATAATAATAGACTCAGATGCATGTAGACAGGGAGGCGGTGTGTGAGCATGTGTGTATGTGTGTGGGTGTGCGTGTGTGTGCGTCCTCTCAGGAATCACAATCGAAGGGTCCTTGTTGACTTTTCATTCCTCTGTCTTTTAAAGAGCTATTTAAATGACAGGGTTTCAAATAAACCCATTCAAATAGAAGGGTTTTACATACAAAGCAATATCCAGATGAAAGGGTTTGTAAACAAAAAGTGACAGAGAGAGATACAGGGCAGGGATGGGAGGAGGGGATAAAACAGGGGATGAAAATACAGACAGAAAAACAAAGAAAGGGAGCAGAACGGAGAAAAATAAAGGAACAAAATACGTATTGAGGACAATGGGAAGGTCAGAGGAGGTTTAATGTAAAGGAGAGAGAGAGAGAAGCAGTTCACAGTAACATAAGTGTCACCCTGGGTTGATAAAGGTAGTGATGGATGATTTCAACGAACATAAATTTCTTACATTGGTCTGTTGTTCGACCCCCAAAAAAACACCCTAAGTTATTTACTGTTTCTCAAATTATGCATCAGCTTGTCTTTTTCTTATAAAACATGAGCTTGAGACACTTAATGTTGCTTTTTACACCGACAACAGTTTGATATGGAACCATTCGATGTCGTAAAAAGAGAAACACAACATAAAGTGCCTGATGAAGTCCTTGAAACTCGATACTTTCAAAATGTGTTGTTTTTTAGTTCTTTCCTAAATCAGCCATTTAAGTTTTTCCTTAACGCACAACCCAAGCACAAGGACATTGTTTTCCCTCCTCACAATGCAACAATCGTTAAACCAAAATTGCACTCAGTAGAGCGTATACCCTTAACGAAGGCCCAACAGTTGCCTTCAATTAAAACAAGCCATATAGCTACGGCCACATTAGCTACACATTGGTGGTAGGTACAGGTTTCTAATCCTATTTGTTACCATACAGCAGCGGAAATAGCTCACATCCCTATGAAACCACATTTAAATCCACAAGATCCAAATTTGTATTCGGCTCCGCACCAAATTGCACACACTCTTGGATACCTACCTCCTTAATATGTATGAATGGTTTTATCAAGATTCACACATAATTCTATGAGAAATCAAGAATACATTAAAGTAAGTAGAAAAAAAAAACCTGCATCCACCCCCTGATCCAGATCCTCACTGAGATTAAATGGTTGTTCTGTGACTCACACTGCATCCGTTCAGTAGTTTTTGTGTAATCCTGCTAATAAACAACCAAACAAACTTTGATGAAAACATGACATCCTTATGTTTTTTTCTTCTTATCTTTACTCAAGAGTGTGATCTTTAGGTTTGAGAGCAGGACTCACACATTCAGGTTTTGTAAAGTTTCTA